GTGTATGTAACGTATTATATGCATATGCATATTGTAAAGAACCGTTATTTCAATATCACAAACAGACACTACGATTTTATTTACGATGATATGATTTCATTTATTTAATATTATCTGTACATACAGATAATATAATAAATTAAACTAAATTAAATAAATGAAATCATCGAATGTTCATTACACGCTTGTCTGTCAAACAGTTGACGCGGCAATACCCTTCATTTGTGAACGTCAACGCTACGGACATTACGCGAATATCCCCCAAATCGGACCTAACGCTCCGAGTTAAGAAAAAATAATAGGCCAACCCGACGTTAGATAAAAGAAAATGGAGATTACTAATCTGTAACAAAGTTGCTTTTTATCTTTTTCTCAACATTCAGCTGTTATTTGGGATGGGTATTACAAGTCATTCTTATGTAACGATGGTTACTCGTAATTTTCTTGTATTTTAGGATAATAAAATAATTTATGACGAGTGGTTATTATATTTAGCTAAATTGGACATGCCTTGTCTGTTATTCAATTCAATCCTGCTAGATGATTAGTTTAGTATTTACTGCTATATTTACTATCTAAATCAGGATTATTACTGTATAAATATAGGGGTATACCAAAGTGTAGATATATATATATATATAGATGTTATGCTATACTGATATTTCCCAATTTAATCCAATAAATATAATTTTCAAAAATTAATTATCTTTAAATTCTTTTTATGTAGTAATACTGGCAGACAAGCTGACGTGCCACCTGATGGTAAGTTGCAATTATCGCCTATATATATATATATATATATAGGCGATGAAACCACCCAAGTGTTGCGATTCCAGAGGACTAAGATGTCACGCCTCTTATCCTATAATTTCACTGCCTTATCTCACCCTTCAACCGAAAAGATTCAAATTAAGGAAAGTTAACCACGGAGATGTTTTTTACAAACGGTTTTTATGAACTCGCTAAAAATATACCTAAGTAATGGGCCACATTAAGAATGTTTACAGTCAAATGTTATTGATCTCTGGCAGAATTTCATTAGTTTAGCTTATAGAAGGCGATGGAATAACAATGTATTGTACATATACAATGAAATATTGACAATGTCTACCGATAATTATACTGTTTTATTTTAAATATGGTTTACAACAAAATAAGTAAAACACTTCTATTAAACAATTTTATTAATTTAAAGGAATTTAATATTATTTTTACTGTAATAATTATTTTATTTTAGCTTTAAAATAAATAATAAGAACTATTTTAACGATGTTACAACCAGTCTAATCACGTATGGACTGAAGATGGCGGTAGATGTAAACATTCATTAAAATAGACAATTCTGTCTACTTATTTTCTTAGTCTTTGCCTACGTTAACAGTCGCCATTACCAATGGAAAATAATCACAAACGCAAACAATAAATATACCGTTTATTATAAAAACGGTATATTTAGATATATGTAAATAACTATGAAAAAAGTATTCAACATTATTTACTTGACAACCGTTTTACATTCAACGTATTTTTCATGTGTTCAAAGAACCGCGTCAATCTCATCTAAACTGTATCTAAAATTTGGATTTTAATCTAAACAACAGGTAAGTCAACCTTTTTACAAGTCTCTTGAGTAAAATACCTTTAAAATGTAAAAGTAAACAGATATCATTGTGATGTATGATACTCTAATAATATTGTTAAAAAGGAAAGTAATGAATACAAAATTAAGTTTTAAACTAAAAATTTGTTGCCTGTATCGAATTCAAAGTCACTGATATTAAAAGTGTTTTATTTCTCGTTGTTTATAAAGCCTTATATTTATTACTACCATTAAAGATCAATACAGAAGGTGGCATTGCCGGCTAAAATAAACCAAAGTCATCCAAAGTAACTTGAAAATCGTAAATACATGAGAATTTTACAAGTATACGCACGTTGATACCGTTAAACTTCGAGTTTCAAAGTTGTATTATGCAGATGGCACGATATTTGTTTAATATAAGTCTCATCATATTACTATGTGCTCAGAATAAGATAGAAGTAATATTGCAATGTTATTCAATATCAAAGTGCAAAAATCAATGTGAATTCTGAATTCTTTTTGTGTGCAGAAGACATCTATATACTAAATTCAATTGAGAACTTCTTCATTACATCATCGTCACAATTGAACAAGCTTTAAGTCAGCGTTATGTACTTTTGCATTTATATATTACGAACAATATTAGTGTGGATTAAGTAAGATTGAAGACAATGCACAATATTATTTATGTAAGATGTTAGTAATTAAGCATCGTCCATTAGATATGTACGAATATAACCTATTCATAAATTATTATCTTCAACATCACATCGAATAAGGCTTTCAAGATGATGACTGCACAATATCCTCACAGTTTATTTTTTTATAAAGGACATACTTTGGAATTGTAAAATACAAAAATTGTGAACCGACGAACATGTAAAATTTTATGACGTTATTTATTTATAGTTATTAAACTTTTTACTATTATACTAAGATTGTATGATCTTTCTATATGAACTTACTATTTTGTTGTTGTCATAAAGAAAGTAAACATTAAAACTACACGTAGTGTGTGTTAAACAGGGCGTATAATTAAGGTAGACCGAATAGATCCGACTAATAGATCGAATGAATCCCTTTGAAGTAGTGGGATTAGTATCGAAGGGTTTATAAATAGCGAACATTTTCGGAAATATCCACTTTATTTTATATGTGTTATAGGTATAATATAATTGTAGATATTTGATGTATTATAATTTATGCTATAGTTAGAATTATAATTATTTTTCACCCGTCTCTCAACAACCCCTATTTTTTAATAGGGATTTTAATTTATATGGCAAAACAACGTTATGTGCGGCGTATGTCTATATCTTGCCACCAGTATCAGAATTTCATCTTAAAATCTTGGCTTTCAAAAATATTATTGTCGATTTTCAAGACAGTCGTCGGCTCATTGAAGCGTGAATGTAGCAATAAACTAAAGTGTCGGATGAAACGTAGTGCGGCGTCGCCCGACTTCGGGACCTGGCGCGCGGCGTGAGCTGTCTCCGGGATGTTGCTAGGTTGACGCATCGGCGAGGTGTGCGAGGTCGCTACAACTACCTATTTTTCTAATGGCTGACATTCGCGCACAACGGAAAGCAAACGATATTACGTAATAACACACACGCTGGAATATAAGCTTTATTGCTTTCTACTTTGAATATGCTCCATTTCATGATTTTTAATGGATAAGAGAAAAAAATAATGTTCAATAACATGACATCCACGTAGATTTTACTCGAGGAACCGGGTTTTTATGCTAAACAATATATATGTCTATAATTAATAGATGATATATTCAAATTCATACCACTACCCATGTGATATAATCTTACATGTGCTACAACCAATACATAAATCCATTAATAATTACATCCATCCGGGGAATTGTTGTTAATTGTGTACTTGTAATACTACATAGGTAATACATATGTCTATATATTTACTATATCCATGATTTGCTAGTATATGGATAGACCTTAGATTCTATTCGCAGTTAGAGTTATTATTTGATATATTTTTTAAATATTAGTAAGCTCTCATGCTTTTGGCTCTATTGTGATTTTCCAACTTATTACATTTGTAAAAACTAACTATAGAATGCTTTTATCACTAGAATGACTATTATTATTATATATGATATATACATTTAAATTTTATCTTAAATATTCGTTTACTGTTAACTATAATGATTAGTTAGATAGCTTGCTAAACAATCACCAGGTTGTTTGGCAAGCTGCAACTTAGAGCTGATGTTTGCAGCTTGCCGGCAATTTGCATGCATCTCATACGCTTTTGCAATCTATAAAGTCTATAGGTAGCAGTAGGCACAACACATGGTTTTCCATATTTAAAAATTACTATTTTACAGAGGAAAACTGTAAAAAATCGTGTATTCAGGTCAGTCTCACCTATTTCAATAGCCTGCATGGCTTGCTTTGTAAGCTGTATTCAATTATAAAGTGAGATTAAATTGAAATTATAGTATAAGAGCCATGATATTGTAGTCCTCCGGAATGCTAACGCAATAGTGACATCATGGGCATCACATGATAACGTGATATCCGTGCTGCTCCTTGTCAAATGTATAAGCTTGCTTGTCTAAGAGTCCTACAATAAAAAGCACATCTAAGTACCATATTTGTATATAATTATATATGTAGAACTGCCACGAACGGAAAATTACTTGCAGGTTGCTGGGTTGTCATAATTAAAAAAAGTGTAAATTAAAAAATATTAGTTTTCCTATTGTTTATGGAGTATTTCTTTTGTGAATATACACGTTTTTGTCACTAACCAAATAATTTAATAAACTAAAGTTTTAAACCGTCTCTTTGAACTTAATAAAAGGTTTACGTTTGGACTTAGTGACGAGTCGACGTTGGGTAGACAACCACAGTGGGAACGAATGTTCATTGAAAGTCGTAGAGTAGCGTGTGAAACCATTAGTCCTATCGCTCACTTGAAAAAGTGTCGCTTTCCCTGAAACATTGTGCTGGGGTGCTCTATTCAATTGGTGAATGTATTTTATTCGTTGTCAATCGATCTCTAGACAACAAAACGCACGCTGGGAGTAATGTTTCACCAAACGATAAATCACTGTCCCCAATACGAATTTATAACATTCTGATCTTGTGTTTCTCACCTACGTTTTGTAATTTAGATGACTACAAAATATCTGAAACCGATAAATAATACTACAAATTTAACTTAGTGCCTCCTTATCGCACAAACTAATAGATATTCTGTGGTAGAACAGCTACAGAAGTTTCCGACAGACCGTTCCGTTTATTTGTAGCCACTGTTTCGTTTAGTTCCTATAAGTCCTAATCAAAATAAACGATGCTTTGGACAGTACCAAAGGAAATAGTTATAGTTGGTTCAATTTCAAAGTTTTCAGTAAGTTCTAATAGGATTACTGTTGTTTCAGATTGGTTCCATGGTTACTTGAAGAAATCGAGTAAAATGTTGAATAGTGGACGGCACGTTTTGTAAATAACTCAATTCCGATATGTCAGGAAAGAATCCAATATTTGGAAAGTCGGTTTAAAAATGAAGGAAAATACAAGGAAGCCGCGCAAGATCCGTCACGAAGCGGTCGTGACATGACGTGTGGGCGCGACCTCTCTCCGCATAAGTACAACATGGTTTCTCGACTCGCTGCCATTTTAATATGGCTCGGAAGTAGTAAGTATTGACTAATCATTTTAACAATTGTTTTATACTGATAATGATTCTTCGATATTTAGTGAGAAGATTATATCCTCTGTTAAATAAAACATCTGTCCTATATTTTCATTTATTATATTCTAATTATTTCTTTCTTATTCTTAGTTGTGGGTTCCCAAGTAAGTTTTATAGCTAGTAAGAATCTATTGGTTAATAAATACACACCCAACATTGCAACACAACATTTCAACTGTGTGAAGTCACGGTAGGTCTCGGTCTAAAAAGGAAACCATGTATGCAGGTTTCCTATGTGATCTAATAAAAATTAAGAACAAGGTTCACTTTAATTTCTCAAACGAAAATTTACATGAACCTACCTCATTACCTTTTCATTTGTAATACCATCCTTTTTCTCTTATTTATTTAAAAATCTTACTTAAATCTAAAATTATTCCACGCATTTTTTTCAACAAAAATGTTTAATATTTCTTGGTACTGATAAATTACACAGCACAGACACAGAAATCTTGTTAATCAGAATGATGACTGAATCTTTCCTATTAAATAGAATAAAATAACATGTTATTTAATTTTTAATATAGCAAAACGACATGTTGAGATCGTTGCCATTTATATAGTTATTATTTTCAGAGAACAAGTCTTTTCAATCAGACCTTTCATCTTGTTAGGCGAAATAACTGTACAGAATTGATGAATTATTAAAATCTCTCCGGATACAATCGAGTTTTCGAATCCAATCCCTTAAGTAAAGCTGATTATCGGAATTCCCTGAAGACCGCACGGCTCTCGAAAAATTCTGTAAAGTGCCAATCTCTCTCGGCACGGGGCAATCGCTAAAATTATTGGTTCGAAACACGCAAGACCATTCATTTATTATACATGGACTACGAAGCTACACTCGGTCAACGGAATAGGTGTACGGGCTCTTGTGGAGGTCCATCCTGGTCGCCCCACGTCATTCCAGAATGTAACTTTGCGAAACTTTTAGTGAATTATTTACCTGCTTGACATTTATAGCCAACTAAGAGAAATATATTTGGAAATTAACTAACCAGACTACGACAGCGTTTTTGTTGATGGTATGAGAAACTCTATGAAAACAAATTTATTACAAAAGAGATTGAAGAGTATTTTATTGAATGGTAAAATTTATATATATATAAATATATAGGTATAAAAATGCAAGTATTAGAAAATAAATGTCAGGTATCGTATTTTATTTTCTTCAGGGATGGAATTGTAATAAAAAAGACGAACCACATCAAAACTATTTGTTCAGTATGTAGTTATAGTAATAATAAAAAAAATTGTCATTTTTTTACCAGAACTATCAAAAAGGATAACAAAACGAAACTCCATCGAATGGTGCCAAGTTCTCTTTTCTTCTTTGAAGACATAGAATAACAGACTTCAGCCTACATTATGTGTCTCATATTTCTACAGGAAAAGCGTTGTAATAATGTTGTATTTTTAGGTAATTTATATTTTACGAACATTAAGGAAGCATAAAATAACAATGAAGTGTATATTTATTATGTTATATTAGATTTTACACAATACAATTTAACAAAAAAATATTAAAATTATTATTATTATTTCTATGATCTATTATATTGTTAAGAAAAGCATTTAAATGTAATTACATTTATGAAAATGTTTATTCCATACAAATGAACACACATAATAGCCTAAAGTATAAAATACCACAAATACAAAATTTTCAGTAAGTATAATATTTTTATTAAGGTATTCAAAGGCTTGAAACAAATGTTTAGACATTTACCTAAAAAACTCGGGTCAACTGAAATAAATCCTTGACCTGGATTTAAAAGGAGTATTTTTAAAATTCTTTTTAAACCTGACGTTCTGGTCACTAGCTGTTTATTAATGTGTATAATAGATTTAATAATATAAATGGAATGGCAAACAAGCAACAATTTATAAGTGGTAGCCGTCGCCTATATACATGAACAACACTACGGACATCATGTTATCATGTGACTGACACATATACCTGTGCCATTTCGAAGGATTAAGATGTCATGCTTCTTATGATGTAATTTCACTACCTAATCTCATCGTACAAATGTACCTTATAAAACATACTTCTTACTAAGTCTACCTAGGTTTTTGCCGAGTAGTAAGTTACATATAGGTAAACGTGTAATCTACTCCTACACAATTATAGATTTCATAGATTGCAAAATGTAGAAAACATAGTAACGTAGTTTACCACCAGTATCTACGTATATGTAATATATTCTATATATATATTTTTAAAAATGAACTTAAAATTACGGTATAATATAAGGAATGAAAACAAAATTAGCGAAAACATTTGGTACATTAATTAGGTGTATAACACACAATAAAGCATTAGGTATATTTCAAATTAAATTCGCGCATGAGAAGAAGTATTGTGATGTGGTTTGAAACCGTAAATTGAATTTGGTTACATTGTAATGAGTTCATGTAGACGGGAATTGTGTATTAGGTTGATCTTGAATTCGATCACGTACCATTCTTGATTTATGTATTCCAACCACCTTTACTACAGCTGTAGGCCAGGATTTGATTACTTATATCCCTTGGACTCGTATTTTACTCTGTGGACCACTAACCGTTCGGCCGCGACCCGACCAGCGAGGATAAGTTTACTCCCTTAAGTTTTCATATATTTTTAGTTTATGTATTCTAAATGTCACAAAATAATATTGTAATTTCATAGTTCAATATATTTTGTATATTTATATTTCACTACATATCTAATACTCATATAGTAAATACTATAGATACAACGAAACTACTACAGAATAATTTATTTATTAGATTTAAAATAATTGGCAATTCTCCTTACAAATTATCTTCTATTAATTCAAGCTCAGCTTTAAAACCATTGCTTCGTAAACTCAATCCAGATTGAATTCGTTTCCATTGCTAGATTGATCACTGTGCAGTGATGTGAAACCTGGAAGCAGTCGGTGGAGAAATAAAATGTAATAGATTTTAAGTAAGAGAAATGGAGTATTTTATCTGTTTAAAGGTAAATTGGTTCATTTATATTTATCCCATAATTATATTACTTAAAATAGTTTATTGCTGTATAGTCAACTGATTACTCCATTGGGTTTTAATTTTATTACAGGCAATTTTTTTAGAATCCATTAATGCATTTAATTACTTTGATATGTTATATCAGATATAACAAATACTTTTATATTTTTTTTAATCTTGTTGAAGGTAGATATGCATAATCTATACATATAAATAAAATTGGAGTGTCAGTTTGTAATGTTGAAATAATCGTTTTTTACTACATGGATATGAATAGAAATACGGTACATACACCAAAATAACATTTTTTACAATTTTTGCATGTCTATCTGTCTGTTTGTTCCGGCTAATCTCTGAAATGGTTGGACCGATTTTGACGGGACTTTTTTTGGAAGGTAACTGATATAATAAGGAGTAACTTAAAATACTTATACTTTAGAAAAATAAAGTTAAATTCCACGCGGACGAAGTCGCATTCATTCATATGCATGTAGTAAAAAACGGTTACTTCAATATTACAAACAGATACTCCAATTTTATTTATATGTATAGATTATAACAGACCTCTAATGTGTAATTTAAAAATCAAAATATGACTAAATGCCTAAATAGATTTAACATTGCACCTATTTAAATAATCAAATTATAAAATGGGTAAGTAATGTTGACCAACAAATCATAATTAAATTAATCAATATTATAGAATAATTTAATTACAGTAAATAAATTATAATTATAAACGGAAGAGTTTGAACAATTAATCAAGAAAGCCTCATTAAAAAGTTTTGAACAATCTTTATCTCTGCGATGGCTATTGAAAAATGAGATTGATGGTAATTCATCTACATTTATACATAATATCATTTATTAAGAGTTTATAATATTATAACAAAGTGTTAAAGTATTATAAGATCTTAAGTTACAATCTACAAATTGTATAATCACAATATTTAGTCATGACTAGTGATTAATCTCACGAAATCGATTTTTTCCTGTAATTATTTCGTAACACAATTGAATCTTGGCTATTAAATAAAAACCAAAAGGATAAGGGGACTGTTAGCAATGGAAATTAGTAGCCCCATTGTTGACAATGTATGATAATGCTATCAGGTCTGCCTCCACGAGGTCTCTTTGGAAACCATTGTCATGAATCTTGGGGAAATCATCGCCAGGCACTAACTGATCAAACTTCATCCTCAAACTATTTATATATTAATGTTTCCACTCCAATGTATACCATTAGCGCAGACGGATGCAGAAAAAGCAGCTTGTCAAAGTCCCATAATGTGAATTTAAAATACGTACCAGAGTTACAATCTATATCTGTTTCTTATAATTCTCACTGTTTACTATGTTGTTTATTCTTGGAATAAGGACTCTTCAATTGCAAGATTGTCATATTAAGTACCTCGTGGAGCGTCAAGGGCCGAAGTTCAGCCCGTTCTTCCTTTCTCGCTACTGAAAACACGAGTCACAGTCACACACAGATTTCAATGAATGCACTTAGGATATTTTAATATTATTTTTAAACAAAGTTTATAATGGATGTTCTCAATTCAGCCGTGTATATTGTGAAACTGTTTCGCATGAGTTTATGAGCTTTCAATTTATTTTTAATTATTTTATTGACAGACTGAACTTTGATTACTTCTATTTTAATTTGTAATGGTTTAATTTAATTCCACCACTGATTTTTGGGTAATACTAAGTTTCCGTTTAAAACTTATTGCTATTATAGACACTTTTTAAGTTATAATTAAAATCCTCTTTTATTTTTAGGTGTACTTGGACTTCGTGATATACAATTAAGCGTGCCTGAAGCGGTCGGTATAGGTTCCAGCGCGACCCTCGGCTGCCGGTGGTCACTAGATTCTGGGGAAACCTTGTATACGGTGAAGTGGTACCACGGCGCGCAAGAATTTTTCCGTTTTGTGCCTAAGGAGCTGCCTAATACACGGGTTTTCTCCCAAACGGGCATCAGTGTTGACGTAAGCAAATCACATTAATTATTACACAAATTTTAAGCTTGATTTAATGAGTATTTATTATATTTTTTATGCTATATGGATATTATTATATACCTATATTTTGTCGTAATTAATATTAAAAGTCTATTAGGGTTTACTAACCAAGTTCTGCGATATTATAATAAAATAATATAATATATAGTTATAATTTCCCTACATACCTACACCACAGAATGCCAATGATATAAATGGCAAATATTACTTTATCCTAACTAGGTGTAATGAGCTCTAGTACATGTTCTATAATAGAACATGTACTCTATTATAATAGAAATTCCGATTTAAAATGAATAAATTCAATAAAACTTCTTGTGTTTATTAATATCTACAGTTTATAAATCAAATAATTTAAATAGCTAATGTTATAAAAAGTAGCTTAGGCTATTTTTATTTCAGAAATTGAATTTATTTTAATAAAAAAAAATCCACCTGTACAAGTCGGAGACTAGGTACGGGTTACCCGTCGTGGGTCTAGTTAAGTCTAGACTTGAATATTATATGGTTTTATGATACTATAATATGTAAACAACATCATTAGTTTTTTTTCAATATACGAGCGGATTAAAGCAATAAGTGTAAAAATATTTACGTTAAGTTTCTTAATTGCAAAATAAAATAATAATATAAATGAAATTAAAACTAATATTTAAATAATAACGTAGTCAAATTTGTTACTTACGGTGCTATAACAAACAACTTCATAACTATGATTATATATGGGTCAATGGCTCTGCGACATCTTGCTAGTTCGTTAAACTGCTTCGTAGTGTGCTCTGCAAAAAATCACTTAAGAATCTCGTCTAGCGGCAAGCACGTTAAACCTTTAACCGTTGGCACCCCGCCACTACTCAGTTGTAACATTGTGCCAGAATAATACATTAAAATCCCTTTTAGATGATAACGAATATTCAAAGTTTTCACTGAAGAGTAAGTCAAAGTGCTTCGGAATGAGTACTGAGAACGCAGTGGGCCCTTAAAAATCGGGTCAGACGTCTCGAAGCGCGGGACGAGCATGATTTAGTTTGGAGGTTTCGTAAAGTGGACCGACTTTCGTAAGATGGATCGAAGCTTTTAGCTCAATTTAACTCGCTACCAGCTGCGTACGGTAAAGTGCACAAGGCTTCTTGTAATGGGATTACTCCATGGCTCACGTATAAATTACACATGAGCACATTCCAGCGACTACCACCTGTAATCAATGATAAATTGGTTGTTGGAAATATTTACGAACATTTCTCAGGCCTTGTCGAATATATACTCGTGCAATATCTGTTATTGATGATCCCCTGTACTAAGATCAATATGATAAATTTTCAATGTCATTTATATTCGTACTTTGTACAGTCATAAGGTTGAATTCATCATTAATTCCATCTTGATTTCATTAATAAATACAGACCTCCAAGGTGAATGACCTCTCATCATTAATTTGTATTAGCTACTTATATTATATGAATAGCGCACAATAATGAAGCAACTATTAAATTGTAATATTTATTCGTTTTCTCCTTTACTATTTTTCTAATCTAATCTAACCAATATTGAAACGATGCCAAAAAGTCACCATCGCGTTCCTATTGGCTATTTTCCTTTTAGATTCTTTTCCTTTTCACCGTTGGTTCTAATTACAGTGATGAACATTTCTTGTTTTCTTTGTTTAATTTCTTTTGCATTTCAACAGATTTTTTAAAATCCGATAACGATAAAAACGGTAACTTAAATGTTCTTTCCAAACAAATATTTTCTCAAACAACTTTAAACTATAAGCTCCTTTTTGTTGCAAATATGTTTATTCTAATATCTGGGCTGACCATAGAAACGTAAAAATTTTCATAATGAAACTAGAATACTACGTACTGTCTGTTGGTTTGTGGTTGAGACTAGTAGTAGTTGTAGGTAAGCGGACAACGGACGTTTGTAATATACGAGTATATGTACCTTTACAGTTTACATGAAGGAATTTATAAGTAGCTACAAGTTATTACCTTGTTGAATATATTTAATACCATATAGTTAAAGTCCGTGCCTTATACATTACAAGTTATAAATATGTACCGAACAAATATATAATATAACCAAACAGAGTTATATATTTTGTAAGTGCAGATATAATATGCATATAGTTCGATTGCAGCTGACTCGACAAGTTAATTTGCTATGTAAATTATTTCTGGATAGTAAAATAAAAAATATCCTACACCTTCTTTATTCCCAGACCTACAAAGATTTTATAAAAATCGGTCAATTCGTTTCTCGTAAATTTGATAAGAAACTCTGTGTGTATTTAAAAGCGGCTTAAATGTCCTACATGTGTACTGACATTTTTATATATTAGATATTGTACTGTACTTTAAAATCTATTTAAATTAGAATGTGATGTACTATTAAAGAATTCTTTAATTTAAGAAATTTATTGTGTGTAGATTTCCCGGTCAGGTGCACAGCAAGTAGTGCTACATGGTGCTACGCGGGTGCTCAGTGGTCGCTACAGGTGCGAGGTCTCGGCGGACGCGCCTTTCTTTCACACCGTTTACAAAAGTGCTTACATGCGGGTTGTGGGTAAGTGAATAGATATATATATATATGTATAAATTATTTAAACTTTTGATGAAAAATATTTGCATCAAGTATGGAATCGAACATGCGGTCACCAGAAGTAAGACCATATGCAAACACACTAGTCCGCCAAAGCCGGTCAAAAAAAAGCATATAAGTTAAGACGACATTGCACTCTATTCAGGAGATGTCGTTTCTATTTTACAGCCGTGTTGAATAAACGTATATAATAATAAATGTTGCAATTTTTTTAAAGAATTTTATATATATCGAAAAATAGGCCTACGGCCTAATAGAACAAATATAGGTTGACTCAAAATATTATATTTTGAGATAACTTATGACCGTCTTGTGATTTATCTTCATAAGAAATATCAAGCCGCTTAAGTCATAAAAGGTAACAAACACATAGACAGATTGACTGTCACATTAATCACATTGATCTTTGGACAACACTTTATATTTACACTTCCAGCCGTGACTACGTTTTTAATTAGTCGATAACTCAACGTGACTACCTAATGATAAACGTCTAATGCGAATGTATTGTAACGATCACATACTAGGTATGTTGATTGTTCCATAAAAATTAGATTAATAAATCTAACACCTAATATATAGAAGTGACGTGATGTTATAAGTACATAGTAAGTGCGTATTATGTAGAATTAAGATTTTTTCGCGGAACGGATACTTAAATAATTACTTCATAAAAACGGCTGCAACTCTCAAACGTGTCTATAATATTTCGTATTTTGTTCACATGCCACTTACGGATATTGTAGGGTCCTTATTTTCTAAGTATTGTTTATTTAAGTAACATAAATTAGTTACTTTATTAGACGTGACGTTACTTTGGTAGAACTCAAGCTGAGAAAGTGTCGAGTTAAAACAATAAATTAATAAGTTTATTAGACAGGGCACGACATGGGACAGTGGCTTGTTTAAAATTTGCTTTAAGGGTCGTTAGCAAAAAATAGTAAAAGTAAGAAGGACAAAGGGCGCGGGGAGGCGATACGTGTCATGGTGGGATTGAGACGCGGAGAAATCAGGACAGTTGGTTTTGGGACGGATAGCGGGGTAGTCGATCTGAAATAGGCAGCGGGTGTTGGAACGAGTAGCGGAACAAGCGGACTAGTCGATCAGAATTAAGGGTTAATTTCCGCGTTCCTTGAGAGACGGCAACGAATAATGAATCCGGGACGGTGCAACGGTGGCTGAACGAGAGACGTCGACGTCAAAATGTTATTGGTGAGATAGAATAGCTACCACATGACAGGTCGTATAAAACTTTAATTATTATTTAAGTTTATTGTAACTTTATTTTAGTCATAAGGTAGATAATTTGGGTACACTTTGGAGGGGAGCGTGGTGATGTTAATAATTGTATTATAAATATGGTAATAACTATGATACATAGGATTGGGTTCCATTCATGTATATAGGTGACAAGGGCAAACGAGCTTCGGTAACGGTTGCTGTAACTGTGAGTAGATTTTAAGTAATGGACAAAACGTTAATTATTATAATATGCTCAGTGTAATCAACAAACTACTGAACCGATATTTAAGGAGGAGCGACTGAAGTGATGATGATATTTTATTTATTCTGATATAAAACTACACTATTAAAAATAATTTAAAAGATTTTGTTATTGACTTACTAAATGTGCTCCTGTCCATATGATTAATATTTAATTATTAAGTACGGCTTAATAACTGATAAATATTTATAATATAATCATTCATTTATATTAAGGGAAATCTTCTCTGACCCCTCTAAGAATTTTGTGTGATGTACACTTCCACAAGGTGGAAGTCACAAATAGAATATATTTCCAAACCGAACCACAGCAATTCCCAAAAGTATGTATTGTATGTTTGTTTGTTTTTTACAAGGTAGAAACTTGCAATTATAAGAATAATGTTGTGCAGAAAGACAGTGCTTTCTTTAATTATTGTGATGGATGTTTGTACATTTCCACAAGGTGGAGATTGCAAATAATGAATAAGTAAATAGTATATTATTCACAAGGTGGAGAATATATTAAAATGGAATATTTAAAAGAACCGTGTCATTAATATGAACTTTGGCTGAGCATATTGAAGATAATCACCGGAGTAATAATATTAATTATTAAGGGATAACATTGACTATCTCTTTATGGAACGAGTTATGAATATATCCTTTCTGGGACTATAAATTTGAATTTTTAACTAATTGGGTTGTCAAGAATAATACAATCATACGAATGTGATACATATTACAAAACGAATTGTAGTTAAACTATAGAATTATTCAAATACTAGATCGCGTATTTTTGTTAACCTCATAATGATTCGAGCATAGATAATTAAATATTTTGTGGTGTGAATATAATATCAGGTGAATATTCAAATATTATATATTTTGTTTCTTCTATATAATCATAAATCAACATTACAACAACAACAAAATTTGTATGGACGTAAAGTAGTTGCTCGAATTTGATGTGGGAATAGCAAGTTCTCTGACCAGCATAGGGCGGTATGTCAGCGCCGATCGGGCCTTAGGGTACATGGTCACAGCCGTACTCAACTGTGGATGGCAGAAAGCCTGTTAACTAGGTTAAATATAATATTTTCGGATGTTCTCCATGGTTATGTTCACTTTTGACTCTCGATTTACATCTGTTATGACTTGATTCGTTCAGTGTCGTCGATTCTTGGATGTAAGTTTTCCTAGGCCCGGCTGACTAGAACCCTACCTTGTTCTCGCAACTCGTGTTAGATCTAGGTCCAGGAGTGCCGAGAATGGATTGTCTTATGTCGGGTTTTAAGGGCTCTTAATGTGGTCAGGAAGTAGCAGATGTAGGTCCCCTGCGCGAACCTATTTTGAAGGTCTAACTTAACTGTATCACTATCGTATGCGTCCATTCTGATAGAATATATTTACAACTATAGTTCCAACTGGGTTAGTCTTCAATAATGAGACTAAGATATTTATCTTCTTTCTTTATCCAATTTTCATACTACGAGGGTACTACGAGTCGGTATCCAGGTATAAGACGACGCGCGCACGCGACGAAGGTGACCTCCGACAGCATCCAACGAATCTTACAGCTGGGTTCCTGATAGTTCTAATATTAAGAAGTTATGTATAACATTAATTTCAATCATAAGCATGTAAACATTGTAACAGAAACATTATTATAACAAAGAGCAAAATCCAAGTTTCTTGCCCGTATCTTCTTGGTCGTAGATAGGGTTCCGAACGGGTGGTAAAGTCATTTAATATTAAATTCATTTAAAACACATAACGAATCGAATAACGCTGCTCACGTAATAAAACCGAAAATAAATAACTTCATTTGCGGCTCAATCCTTGTTTTATTTCTCACTACTATTTCCTAGATAATAATCAAGTAGGCTTCATATTTTGCAGTAGGTTATTTCTTAGGTATTAATCGTAACAACGTAGAGTCCTAGACGATCACTTGGCCAACACAACGACATATATACGTAAGCATTAGATAGGGAAAGTTAGGTCTGTGTTACGACCGTCTGTCGTCACTCAGTGTAGGTTATGTAGGGTTAGGATTAGGGATGTTACAGAATGGTGCCGTGACCAGGATTATACGTCAGACAATCTTGAATTACCTCGTAGTTCAAGAACGTGTAATTAAAAGAATTTGGGTTACTACAGTTTACTTTGCTTTACGGTTTACATTGCGTTACGCTTACGGGTTCTCTATTCTTCATTTCGTTTCTTTACGGTTTACTTTGCGTTACGTTGCGTTCTGTTTACGGGTTCGCTATTCGTTTCGTTTACGGTTTACTTTGCGTTACGTTGCGTTCTGTTTACGGGTTCTCTATTTTTCATTTCGTTTCTTTACGGTTTACTTTGCGTTACGTTGCGTTACGTTTACGGATTCTCTATTCTTCTTTTCGGTTCTTTACAGATTACCTTGCGTTACGTTTACGAATTCTCTCTTCTTCGTTCCGTTTCTTTTAATTTTATTTCGGTTTTGATTTGTTTTCGGTTTTATTTGTAACTTAAATTTGGTTTTATTTCTTTTGTAGTACTTTGATTTGGATTTTGCTCTATGCTACGTTTTTTAAACTTTTATGTGTTAGGTTAAGTAATTCTAATATAGTGATTCTCTTTCAGGAACCTGATCGCCTTGTTGGTATGCGTAGGTTTGATTACCACTACTTGTAGTCATTTCTATTATAAGGTCATAGGGGCGTAGGAACTTAATTTTACTAATATTATAATCACGGAAGTTTTGAGTGTAGATGAATGCATGGATGTTTGTTACTCTTTCAAGCATAATTTCTGAATGGATTTCAATGAAGCTTTAAAATAATGTAGCTTATACATCAGAATAACACATAAGCTAGAAATTACAAGCGGGTGAAACCGCGGGCGCAGCTAGTATGTAATACAGTAATATAAAGAAAAAAAAAATGTTTAAGTACAGGCTAGGGGCGTAGTAGGAAACTTTTGTAACGCCAAGTTAGATATGAGGGGTATACTCGGTCAGCATAGTTTAGAATCTGGGCTAGATGTTATCATATGTATACACTGACAAACAACAGAGTAGAGAGTAGGTCCTCAACTAGCAGCACTGACTTAATAGCAGTTTCAGGGTACTGAAGGTTTAGGGGTGAAGTATTCAGGGTAGTTAGTTTAATCAATATACCTATATATCGTTAAACAAGGGGTATAGAGTGAATGTAATTATGATAGCTGTATAATTTAAATAAGAGTAGACTGCCGATTGTCTTGTATGTATATATGATTGTGTTCACTATAGTATATACATATTTGTTAAACAATGTTTTTCAGGATCTGACTATCTGATGACCGGCCGACAGATAAGTAATTATTTGTATCAACCTCCTTCAGCACAACGGGCAGACGCGGAGCCGAATTGCTTGAGCAGTCTTCAAAGCAATGGAGAGCGGTATATGTATCATTTTAATATATTTACTGTAGATCTGAGTAATCTACAGTTCGCG